GACACAACATCTTTGTTGGTATGTGGTGCTGAGGATCAAACCCGGGCCGCATGCATGCCAGGCGAGCGTGCTACCGCTTGAGCCACATCTCCAGCCCCAGGAATCCCCCTCTTGTACTAACCAATCACCCTTACCCAACTTTTTCCAGCCAGCAAATGTGCTAATCAATATGAAGAGTTGTTGTTTGATTTTTCTGTGGTATAAAATGATTTGCTGTGTGATGTTGTGATGCATAGAGTATCCCCCCAAAACCTATAAAATCTCACTCCCTTGGGAAAGGTTGTAAGTCCAGGCTCGAGCTTGTAATAAAGACTCTTGTGCGATTGCATCGGATTTGGCTCCTGGAGGTCTTTTGGGGTTCCGTGAATCTGGCATTACAAGTTCATCCTGTGAAGAACCCACATTTGCTGTTTCTGCTCCTGGTCCTCCAAGAATAGCCTTTTAAATGCTCATTTTATTTTGGAGACGGGGTGCCTCTGATGTGTACCCTGGATGTGCAGAGCCAGCTTCAGGTGGATGGGCCTGGCACCGGGCTTGTGGGAGGGACAGGGACACAGGCTGGGCTCAGAAGCACGGATCCAGGCCATCCTGGCTGGAGCTACCTGCTTGAGCAGGTGGTGCCTCATGGATGATTACTGGGTTGGGAAAGAGGAGGGACTGGGACACCCTGCTTTTCTGTCATTTCCAAATCCTGAAGTGTCTTTGAGCTCATGATGGCATCTCTACCTCTGTTCACCTCCTGGCTCTACCGTGCCTTCCTCCTAGGCCTCCTTAAGCTAGAGCTTCCTTTTAGAAGCTGCATTCTCCTGCGGTGGCCTCCGCAGGGCACTCTCATGCCTCATCTGACCCCCTCTTCCTTCCTCTCCTTCCCCTTCTCTTCCAGGAAGCCTTCCTTGAATGGCCTCTGTGCCTTTGCTTGGGGACATCCCTCCCCATCCTCAGCACTGTGTTCCAGGTCCACAGCTGCTTCCTTGACTTTAGGGCAGGCCAGTCTGCCCATCCGCCCAGGGGCTCCCAGGGTAGGGCCTGGGTCTCCTTCTTCCTTGAGTTCTGCACGTGTGCAACATCTATTCTCCAGGTGTGTCAGAGTAGGTCAGCTGGAGCCAAGTGACAGACACAGTCAGGCAGAGAGCATCTTGCTCTCCAAGGCCCAGCCCAGGTACGGGAGGGGATAAAAGTCTCGTGCCAGGGCCCTGGGGCAGAAACACACACACCTTGACCATCTGTCTGTCTGTCTGTCTGCCTCTGTGCGACTGTCTCAGCCATGTCTCTTTCCCCGTGCAGGACCAAGAGGGGCTTCAGCGCTCACTCGGCCTGTTCTGCTCTCTTAGGGGGTCGCAGCAAGGGCAGCTTCAGCAGCAGGAGCCTCAGTTCCTTCGATGGCTGCCGAGGGGCCTCTCGTGGGAGGGCCTGGGGGTCGAGGGGAAGGCAGGGGGTGTGGTTTGGACAGGGGAGTGGGGGGCCTGGGCTTTCCCTGTGCCCTCCTGGGGGCATCCAAGAAGTGACCGTCGACAAGAATCTGCTGACCCCACTGAAGATTGAGATCGACCCCCAGTTCCAGGTGGTGAGGACGCAGGAGACCCAAGAGATCAGGACCCTCAACAACCAGTTTGCTTCCTTCATTGACAAGGTGAGGGTCAACTCGAACTGTCTTCCCCCCTCCCTCAGAGGAGCTGCTCTTGATGGACTGAGAATGGGGAAATCTGTCCTTCTTCTACCACTTTTCTAGTCAGTTCCACAGCAAGGAAGTCCCCCTGTGGCCTGGTTCTGCTGAGGCCTTGTTTTCCATGGCTGGGGTTCAGGGACAGGAAATAGCCGGCCTGCTGGGAAGACCCTTCCCTGTTAGACTGTCCAATCATTTTGATGTGTCCAGGCTCTGATGAAAGGCCACCAGGCTTGGAAGGCAGACCCAGGGTGCTGACAGGAGGGCCTCTGAAGCTTTACTTTCCAGAGGTTGCCCGAGGAGTCCCACGGGAGCCTCAGGGACCCCGTGCCTGGGTTGCAGGTGCGGTTCCTGGAGCAGCAGAACAAGGTCCTAGAGACCAAGTGGCATTTGCTGCAGCAGTTGGAGGTGAGTGACAGCCCCCAGGGCCTGGAGCCTGTCTTTGAGGACTACCTGGCACATCTCAGGAGGCAGCTGGAGCAGCTGCAGAGAGAACGAGGGGCTCTGGATGCCGAGCTGAAGGCCTGCCAGGACCAGGAGGAGGAGCATAAGGCCAAGTAGGTACTGATGTCGCCCCCTGGGGTCTGTAGCCTGTGCCTAGAGGACATGACTGTCCTCCCTCTTCTGCTCTGCGTTCCCTTTCCCTAACTCACAGGGGGCCCACCTGCCACAGGGAGTGGAGACCCCACAGCCCCCACCTCTACCCAGGTTTGGAGAGACTCAGAGGAAGGTCAGGGTGATCTGTTTCCAGTGGGTCCAGGCCCATTTCCTCCAGGCCCCAGCTGTGAGGGCCATGGTTCTGGGATGGGAAGAGCTATTTAAACAATGCCTCAGTAGTTTTTTTTTTTTTTTTAAGAAATTCCTGTTTAGCAGGCTGTGGGCTAAAGTGACTCAGATGTTCTCTGTCTCAGGGGTGGAAGGAAATCAATTTATTGGGATTATCCCCAGGCCCAGGGCATGATTCACAGTCGGGCTGTGGTTCTGGGCTCCCAGATAGGTCACCTGGTGGTGAGGAGCACCACCATTGACTGGCAGGAGGCATGGGTGGAGAGACTGTGACAAGGACTAGCTGTGTGGCCTAGGCAAGCCATATACCTCTCTCAGCCTCATTTTTCATATCCATGCACTGGAAAAAGGTTATCCACCCTTCTTATCTCCCAGAGCTATTGGGAGTGGGCTCTAAGGAGGAGGAAGAAGGGCCCTGGAAGGAGCCCAGGATTGGGCAAGGGGACCTGGATTCTAGATCTGCTATGGCAGGCTCATCATCAGTGGGACCCTGGCTAAGTCTTTTCTCCCTGATAAATCCAAACAGCCTACTGCAGATGATGGTGTGAATAGTAACTGAGAACAGGCACTTGAATGTGCCCTAGAAACTGTGAAGTAATGTGGCCTGTTGTCACAGGGACATGAGCTGGAAGAGTGGCACAGGGACATAGCTAGGATGTGACAGAGCCTCCTGGCAGGAAAGCAGAGAAGGGGTCTGGTCACTGGTTCTGCTTTGGACCATCTAAAGCAGTGGAGCCCTCCTCAGGGAGTGCATGCTGGGAGGCAGGGCCCTGGGCTCTGGCCTGGCACCTGACTGTCCTTCTCTACCTGGCAGGTATGAGGAGGAGGCCCGCAAGCATGCCACGGTGGAGAATGACTTCATGGTCCTCAAGAAGGTGAGGGGGGTGTCAAGAGCTCCACTCAGATCCTGAGCCCTTCTGTGCATGGAGCCTGCTCCTACACTGGGAGGCAGAGGGTGGAAGTCCTGAGTGAGGACACCACCCACCCTACCTGCAGAACCCCCGCTGTCTGGGAAAAGGGACTCCAAGACAAGATCCAATTGAAGCCCTAAGAGAGGAGCTCTGGGTGTCAATGAAAGAGTGGGTGGGGAAGGAGTGGAGTCAATCAAGGAAGCTTCCAGAAGGCAGCATGGGCCAGAGTAGGGCAAAGAAGAGAGCGGGCCAGGATGGGGCTGGAGGAGGAAGCAAGAAGCATCTGGAAAGTGGGCTTTGGGCAGTGGGTGCCCAGAACTCTAAGCCAGTGTAAAGTTCACAAAGAGGAAGTAAGAGATGCATGATTTCTCTCTTCCCATCTCTAGGATGTGGATGGGGTTTTCCTGAGCAAGATGGAGTTGGAAGGCCAGCTGGAAGTTCTGAGAGAATATGTCTGCTTCTTGAAGCGTCTGTATGAAGAGGTGAGGATCTGCCAAGGGCAGGAGGGAGCGATAAAGGGGACAGGGTGGGCAGGCTCTCTGTGGCCATGTGGGGAGTGACCAGGAGGAGAAGCCATTTAGGGTGGCTTAGATTTGTGGTTATTCAGTCATTTTACAATCAGTTATTGAAAACTTTTACTATGTGGATTGCTAGGTACCAGGGGTACATCAATCAATAACCAGACAAAACGCACAAAGCTTGTTTTCTTTTGGAAGACAGACATAAGCACTGGGCTTGTAAATAATTGTGCAGTGTGACAGAAGGTGACAAACACAATGGAGACTAGAGAAAGGAGGGTTGGGAATGTGGGGCAGGTGGTGATTTCAAATAGCCCTCATTAGGAGGTAAAGTTAGAGTGAAGGTTTGAAGGAGGTGAAGAAGTTCATGCAGGAGGGCTTCTGGGATTGTGGGCAAAGGTTTTAGCCCACAGCCTGGTGCGCTGGTGTCACATGGCCCCTGCAAGGGGGGCATGTGCTGGAGAGAAGTAGGAGCGTATGGGCAGGACAGTGATAAAGGGTGGAGGAGGTGACTTTGGGTTTTGAAGACCATTTCCTTTAATGGTCAAGCTTCAAGGGTTACTAGAGACCATCCATCCTATGGCCTTATTTTCAAGAGGGAAGAAAGACTGAGGCCCACAGAGGGCAGGACATATGCAAGGCCACTAAGATTGAGTGTGGATGGCCAGTTGACAAAATGTGGGAAGAAACTCAGTCTTCCTCCCCCACATGGGGTTCCAGGGGAGAGGGAACTGGTGGCCACTGAGTCAGTCCTCCCTGTAGGAGCTGGGCCAGCTGCAGATCCAGGCAAGTGACACATCTGTGGTGCTGTCCATGGACAACAATCGCTGCCTGGACTTCAATGACATCATTGCCGAGGTCCGCGCCCGCTACGAGGAGATCACCCAGAACAGCAAGGCTGAGGTTGAGACCCTGTATCAGACCAAGGTGCTGGGGCCAGGGGGATGGCATGATGCTGGAAATGGCTGGGTCTCCATGTCTGCTCCCTAGGGTGGTCACCCATCTCAGTTCCATTGGGGCAGTTCTGATAACCTCCTTGAAGGTCCAGGGTTGGGTGGGCAGGAGCATATCCTCTGCAGGGCAACTGTGGGAGACAAGCTTGGGTTTCCGTAGGTACAACTGCTATGTCCTGGTCTCAAGCAGTGAACCCACATCTGGAAGATGAGGATGTGAAGAGACATCTCCAAAGGCTGGGAGGTGGGGTTTCCTCAGTGTTGGGGTTAAGGGGGCGGTCTGCTCAACCACTGGTGTCTCCCCTCTTCCCCTCAGTACCAGGAGCTTCAGGCATCGGCCCAGCTTCATGGGGACAGCATGAAGGAAACCAAGGTCCAGATGTCCCAGTTGCAGCAAGCAATCAAGAGGCTGCAGAGTCAGATCGCCAGTCTCAAGGAGCAGGTCAGGCTCCCAGGGCCTTGGCTCACTGCTTTGTGCCTCGGCTCTCCCCAGGTCCCAGGCTTTTCCTGGCTAGGCTCGTGTGGGTTGTGGGAAGGCTTGGTACCCGGATGGGTCTTTGGGTAATTGGGGTGGAGAGATCCCCACCTATCCTCTGGGATGCATTCTGCCTCCTCTGTGACTTCCAGGCTGTTTCTTGACTTTTTCAGGAAAGGGCCCCTGCATTCAAAAACCCCAGGGGGACTGTTACCACATCCAGGTGGACGTCTTGCTTTTGGCTTCTGAATCTCTTTTCCCATCTCTTCTTTTGACTTTTACTCCTCAAACCAAGCAGGGTCTTATGGTCAACCACTGAATTTCCTGGTCCCCTTTTGGGGAGAGTGAGAGCCCAGAGAAAAGCAAGATGGGTGATGGTCAGGTGGGGGCTGAGCCCTCCTTAGGCAGGTGCCTCACAAGCTTCTGAGGGGAGGAGGGCAGGGTATGGGGAGGGCTGCAGTGCCCTGCTCCTTGCAGAGAGCTCACTCTTAGTTGGGAAGGATTATGATTTAAAAAGTACTCAAGTCTTTGCACTTATATTCCCCCAACCCAAAGAATACATTTTGGGACCCACAGAGGGTGGTGAGCAGAAGCCAGAGGCAGGTGGATTCTCTAAGCAGGGCAGTTTGATGATCAAGTCACACTCCCAAGCAGGTTCCCCTGGGGCCGGTTCTAGGAGCATTGGCAGGCCACTTACTTCATCCCAAACATCCTCACAGCTGTCTTCTGGAATGATATGAGGTTGAGAGGCATAGGACAGGTCCTAGTGCTCAATTTGTTGCTTCCGTGTTTTCCCAAAGGACTTGGACCCTTGCTGTGGAATCCCCTGGGGTATCTTTATGACACAGATTCCTAGGCCCCCAGGCAGACCTGGGGAATCAGAATCTCCAAGCGTGAGGTCCAGACACCTGCTTTTTAATCAAGTCCACCACTGATTCTGAAGCCTGAGGTCTTTCTAGGGCCAGCCCTGAGGAGTGTCTAGCAGGGGCCCAGGCCTGGAAATCATGGCTCCTTATGCAAAGGCATGAGCATTTCTTGAGAGTTCCCTCTTGGGGATCAAGTGCCCTTTTCCTTTTTCTATGCAAGCCTAATGGCCTGGGTGCTCTTGTGCCAGGTCCCAGGTGCTGGATGCCAGTTGCCCTAGGTTGGCACTGGGTCCCCACTCTGCTACCCTTCACCTTTCTGAGTCTCAGCTTCTTCAGGGATAGAGTGGAGATGACGTTCCCATGGTGGTCCCTGTTGGGGGTGGAATAGAGCCTTTAGGGAACCCCTTCCTTCTTAGTTGGATGGGAGGCTGGTGACTCAGGGAGCCTGTCCTTCCTTGGGTCCCCTACTAATTGGAAAACACATGCAGAGGCTGCGTCTCAGATGGAAACTCAGGGCAAAGGGTTTGACAGAACACTGTAACAGGGCTGTCCCCAGCCACTTATGAACCCTGGCTGCCCTCAAGATGAGACCTGAGGATAAGGGCCCATACAGGAAGGAAGCCCTTTAAATGGTTGGGGGGAAATAAATGGGAAGGATCTCTTGAGCTCAAGGGAGTAGTATTAGTTTCCTAGGCAGCTGTACAAATTGTCACAAACTTGGCAGCTTAAAACAACATAAATGTATTCTTTTGCAGTTCTGGGGCCTCTAAGTTTGAAATCATGGTAATTTATTAAGGTTCTTCTGGGGATGGAGAGGTCCTTTCTAGCTTTTTGTGGCTCCAGGGAGTCTTTAACTTTCCTTTTTTTTTAAACCAGGGATTGAACCCAGGGGTGCTTAACCATTGAGCCACATCTCTAGTCCCCACCCTTTTTTTTTTTTTCTTAATTTGAGACAGAGTCTCACTAACTTGCTTAGGGCCTCTCTAGGTTGCTGAGGCTGGCCTTGTACTTGTGATTCTCCTGCCTCAGCCTCCCAAGTCACTGGGATTACAGGTGTGCACCACGGCGCCTGGCTACTTTCCATGTTTTATTGCTGCATAATTCTGATCTCTGTGTCTGTCTTAACATAGCCTCTCCTTTGCGTCTGTATTTATGTCCTCTCCTCTTCTGTTAAGGACACCAGCCACTGTTTTAGTTATTACTCTAGATACAGTATGATATCATCATGAGATCCTAACTCATTATATCAGGAAAGACTGTATTTCCAAATAGTCATATCCTGAGGTTCTGGGAGGGCAGGAAAAAATTGGGGGACTCTATTGAACTCCCTGTAGGAACTAAGAAAGCATTGGAGGCTATACTGTTCCTTATGGGGAGGGGGGCAGTCATGGATAATTTTGAGCTTATGAGGCTGATGTCCCTCCAGCTCTATCCATAGTGGGTTCTTTGGGATGCTGTGTTGGACTTACAGCTACTTTCTCTCTCATTTCTACTGCCTTCTAGAATGCCAACCTGCAATCAGCCATTGCTGACGCCGAGCACCGTGGGAAGCTGGCCTTGAAGGATGCTCAGGCCAAGCTGGACGAGCTGGAGGGTGCTCTGAGAAAAGCCAAGCAGGACATGGCCCGGCTGCTGCGGGAGTACCAGGAACTCATGAGCACAAAACTGGCTCTGGACGTGGAGATCGCCACCTACCACAGGCTGCTGGAGGGCGAGGAGTACTGGTGGGGCAGCTTGAAGGGACCTGGGAATATGTGATAGGGTGGAGGAGGAGGAAGGAATGCCAACAAAATGCTCTCCTTGCTAAAGGGAATTCTGAGGCCGGGTACAGTATAGCATGCTTGTCATCCCAGCAACTTGGGAGGTTGAGGCAGGAGGATTGCAAGTTTGAGGCCAGCCTTGGCAATTTAGCAAGGTCCTAAACAACTTAGTGAGATCCTGTCTCAAAATAAAAAATAAAAAAGCCTGGGGATGTGGCTCAATGGTAAAGTGTCTGGGGGTTTAATCTCCAATATTAAAAAAAGGAGGGGTGGATTATGAAAGATTTCTTGACACTGTGAGTTGCTAAGAGCAACTGACTCTGCTGGGAGGGATTTTAAATTGGGGACTGGATTTTGTATGCTGGGAGGATAGGTGAGCTGCTCCTAGAGGCTTAACACCTGGGGATGCATTCTTTGCAGATTTTCTTAGCATTTCTTCCTTTTGTTTCCCCCCCCACGCCCAGGATGTCAGGGGAATGCAGCAACCAGGTCACTATCTGTGAGTATCTGGGGACTTTGAGAGTGGTATTCCCATGGGGCACTGATGACCCTGCTTTTGACCTTGGTGCATTTCTTGGCAGCGACTGTGGGAGGCAGTGCCGTGGTGTCTGGAGGAGTTGGTGATGGCCAGGTGGGCACTTGTGGACTCAGAGGACCCGGAGGCGGGAGAGGCAGCTTTGGGTCCGGCTGTTCCAGCATTGTGACAGGAGGCTTCAATACCAACTGGGGCTCTGGACAGGGACCTGCTTTGGGTTCCTGCTCTGTGTCTGGCTCTGGTTTTGGTTCTGGCTCTGGCTCCTGCTCTAGCCGCGGTACCATCCTGAAGAAAACGGTGGAGTCAAGTGTGAAGACGTCCATCACATACTGAGTGACACAGCTCCTCCCTCCTGAACCCATCAGCTCCCATCTCATCCCCCAGCTCTGCATGGTCAACTCCATGTTCACTGCCTGCAGCTCAAACCAGTCTATGCGGGTTTGAAGACAGTCAATAAAGTCCCACCCATCTGCTGTTCTGAGTGCTCAGCCTGGCTGGCCTTGCTCTGCATACTTATTTACATCTCATTTGCATGCTTCCCATCCCAAGTCTCAGTGTCCTGTGCCTGGTCCTCCAGCCAGCTGACCATATTCTCTCCTTTCTCCATGGTCTTCAGGCTGAGCGAGAAAATCTTCCAGCTGGGCTTGACCAGGCTACATCTCCATTCCAAAGCTTGTCTTTTAGCAGGAGAGGGGAGACCTGAGACCCACTCACCAGAGACTGGAGGTTGGAACCTAGAGTGCTCTCTCTTGTCCTCTTTATCCACCTACTGCAAGCCCCCTCTAGGCCTCTGTGAAATGGCACAGAATCCAGTTCTCCCTGGTGCATCTTCTTTTATCTCTCCCCTGATTTCTCATCTCCCTCTCTCCTTCCCCCCAATTTGACACAGGGCAAACAATATTTAAGGTGCTGCCATGGGACTGGGGCTACTCTGGCAAGCACTGGGTACTGTGTTTTTCCCTACTTCTGGATCTCCAGCATAATCCCTCCCACCTCCAACAGCCAGATCTTCATTCTCAGAGCCCTTGGCTTCAGGGTCAGAGGGCAGGCCTCCTGTGACTAATTCAGATCTCCTGTGCTGGGAAATGAGGACGTGTGGAAAGTCCTTCTGTGTCCTGTCTTTTTTTCCAGTCCCCTCCCAGTGATGCCCCCCATCCCCCCAGGTCTAAGCAGGGTGGCAAGCCTGATTCTCTCATCTCTGATCTTAATTTGGCCTTTGTCTTCCCAGACAGGAATGCCCAGGCAGGTCAATAATTGAACACAGATGCTAAGTAATAGCCTCACATATGGGTTCAAGGGCATTTGGGGGAAGCCAGAGGGCAGAGATGAAGTTTCCCTGTGGCAATGTGCAGCTCCTCTGCTACTCTTTCCAGCCATTCATCCCTGCCCCGAACTTGCACACTTCACTCAAGATGACATTTCTTTGTCATTCTGGAAGTGAGGATCGGAGAGCTAAGTTGACTTGAATGATAGGATTGCTTATGGAGGTGTGGTCACTGCCAAGGGATGCCATGGGTCTTTTCATCAAAATGACCCAATATTTCTTCTCCAGGAAATCTTCCTGAATTCCCCTGCGGAACTCTTCCTGTCCCCAACACATTCAGGCTGCACCTGCTGCTGTCCTGAGCTCTGTGTCTGTCTGGTTAGTTGGGGACTCAGCTTCTCTGTTGGCCTGGGACCTCTGCGAAGCTTCTTCTGCCCCTAGGAAGGGGACCTCAGCTTAGCTCCCGCCTGGGGCTCTGTTGGGGACCAGGGGCTGAAACTATGCCCCTGCCCTCTCTCTAGGCTCCCATCCCATCCTCAAGCCTGTCTGAACATGAAGCTGAAAACCTCCCCTGCTTTCCTCTCTTTCAGGAAGCTCTGCTGGAAGCTGGGAGTGTGGGAGGCAGGGCTGAGGCTAGGAGGGGCTGGGAGGACGTTTCTCCACCTCCCCTGGCAGTCAGGTGGCTTCTGCCATTGCTCCTGCCCCTTGTTCGCTTTCAGACCAAGGTGGGAACCTGGCTCATCTGTCAACTTCATACCTGTGCCGTGGGGCATCACATTACTCCTCGCCCTGCATTAGGGGGAGGGAAGCCCTTTCTTTAGCTCCGTGGATCTCTCCATTAAAATGACCCAAGAAGAAGCTTTTCAGCTTCGTGTGAGGGAGGCATGAAGGGGTGAGACCATGACTCTGTAGCTGGATCTGGAGAACCAGGGGGTCGGAGGCAAGCACCATCTGGAAGCTGGGAAGCCTCTACCACCCCTAAATCAGGGTGCTCAACCACCCGGATTGTCTAGTACAGAGGGGACGTGCAGTACTGAACCTGGGACGGTCCTGGGAAAATCAAAAGGAGGTGGTTGCCCTGTGTGGAGCTGAAGGGACAAGAGAAGACAGATACAGAGTTGCAGGAACTGAGAGGGGAATCTCTGGAAGCTGTAATCTCAGAGGGAAAGTAAGGAGGAAGAGGGGATAGTACCGGCTCTCTCTCTCTCCCTCCTTCCGGTTTCCTCTCCCTTTGGTCAACTCCACTGGAGGGCAAAGAGCAGGGGAACATCCCACAGCAGGAGAGGAGGGTAGAGAATAGCTCTGGGGTGGGAAGGAAGCGAATGGAGTATAACTAGTATAGAGAATAACCATGCTATCCCACAGGAAATGCTTAGGCCACTCTGGGTCATGTAGCAAGTGCTCAATAAATGCGGACTACAATGATTATTACTAGATTAGTAGAAAGTTCTACTTCTCCCTGGGGACTCCTCACCCCTGTGTCTTCCCTATTGCTCAGCACCACCGGCCCACACTAGGGGCTCAGTTGCTGTTAGCGGCTGTTTTGCTGCATTCCTTTGGCAGCAGCAATAGTAGCATGGAATCTGTTTTTGCCTCCTGATGGTTGGGAAGGACTTTGGGCAGTGATTGCCTTGGTCTCCGGACCTAGAGCACCTTGGTAACAAGCAGCTCTCTCTTATGGAGAAGTGGAGGGGAGGAAGCTGCTCTTCCCTAGGCTTGTTAAATAATATTTGTGGGAGGCCATTGATTTGAAAGAGACCAGCCCAATATGGAGTTTAACTACCATATCTGACCTCTAGTTAATTGTGGAGGGCACTCTAACTGATTAACCATTTAAGCCAGAGCCAGTTAAGCTGTCTTTACAGTGCCCTTCCGTTTTCTGTAAGTGCTGTTGGTCGGAGTTCTCTGAAGCTGCTTTGGTTCTGAGGTCTGTCCAATTCACTGGTTGGGTTTTTATGTTTGTTTGGTTTTACTTTGTTCTGTTTATGACTGCTCAAATAAATTCTACTAATCTTAAAAGTCTGAGTTTTTCTTTTTAAGAGGGAGCAGAAGGAAGGTGTGGGTGAGGATGTCTGAAAGTAGAGTGGGGGGTGGTGCTGGGGAAGGCAGAGGGGCTGCCTACGCCCCTGTCTGGTCTGGCCCATACATGGTCCAGCTTGGGTGTGCGGGAGGCTGTCTCCTGAGCAGCTGTGTGCTCCGTGAGAGTGGGCCAGGGTGGCCTGTGCACCTGTCACTAGCTTTCAGCTCAAGACGGCGTGCGTGGTATGGCTGTGAATGAGTTGCGTGAGTGTTTCTCTGGGTGGGGTGTATTTGGAGTGAATGTCAGTCTCTGGGGTGGGGTATATTTGTGTTTACAACTCGACTCCCACTCCCACCACCCCAGCCACATGGTGACTCAGAGGACTGACATCACTCCCTCTCCAGGGGGCTGGCAGCCGCATCCTGGAGGCTAGGCCGGCTCACGACAGTATTCCCTCCCACGTTGCGCTGCTCAGGGAGAGATAAGGGAGGCTGAGAAAGTGATCCCAGCCTGGGGAAAGGAGTCGAAGGCCGGTGGGAAGAGATGGCTCAGCCTAGGGCTCACAGGCCATCATTTTCCCAAAGGATTTCTGTGGGCAGAGCTTATAGGCCAAAGAGATGAGGCCCAGAGAGGTTGAGAGTTGCCTGAGGACACAGAGCTAGTGGGCATTTGTCTTTAAGCCCTGCTCCTGCAAATGTCTGACACCCTCACTCCAAGCAGGGAAGCTGGTCTCTCGGGCATTAGGGACTAGTCTTGTGGGTGCCTAACCTCACTCCTCATGGGAGCTGCACTGGACTTCTTCAAGCAATAGGGAGCCCGAACGGTCCTCCAGGGAGCTCCTTGGGGCCTGGAGGGCACTTTCTCTCCACCTACCTTCCCTTGGGGAATGGAGAATGCCTCTTCCACTGGGGTCCCAAGCCTCTCTTTTGGGGTCTCAGGGAGCCAAGCTGGCTGAGCCTCCCAGCTGTAGCCCAGTGGGGTGTGAGGAGTGCCGCGGGGGTCTCCTCTTCTTCCTTTTTCATTGCTGAAAGCTGAAGGGGGCGAGGAGGGCCACCAAATCACCTCCTCATCAGCCCACAGTCCTAACATTTGGAGTCTCCCTGGCTTTGCTTGGGGCTGGATTTGGTTTGAGTTACCTGAGGTGGGTAGGGAGTAAGGGATTATGTGATTTTTAGTTTTTTTGCGGTGCTATGCAGATGTTTCCACCACTGAGTTACATCCTCAGCTGAAGGATGCCCTTGGCCCCTTCTGAGTCAAGAATTTGGGCTCTTGATGGGCAGGGAAAGAGGGGACTCATGGGGGTGCTGCATGGGCTTTTGGGGGCTTCTGTTGTTCTGGGATCTGTATTTCCACCCATGAAGGGAGGTGTCCCTCACCCACTTTCAGCTCCTTCCAAAGTGGCTGCACCCTTCTAGGGAGATTCCACCTGCAGAAGGTCAGGGGTCTCAGGTGATGGCAGAGCTCCTTACCCACATCCAGCTCTCAGGAGAGTGTGCTGTGTGACCCCAGGCCCCAGGATGATGCCTGAAGACCCCAGGGCTTTGTACCCCTCATCATGTGCCCACAGCCCATGGGTGGGCAGGGGCCTCTTTATGTCCTTGAATTCACTTTGCTCCACACAGTATCTCTATCCAACAGACATCTGCCAGTCGAAAGAGCAGACTGCCACCCTGTCACCTGTGCCCCCAACCCAGGATCTGCTAGGAGGCAACAGGGAGGCTGCCCGTGGGCCAGGAGGTGGGACTGGAGCAGGCCTGGGCACTCTTCAGCAGCTCATTGCCCAACGTTCCTTCCCTTCTACCTGCACAGCAGAGGGCCCTGGGGCCTTGGCTTACAACTGGGCCTTGGGAGGAAGCCCATAGAACACAGAGTCCCATTGACTGAGGCCACCAGGGCTGGGTGGGAGGAGAACCAGCCAGCCACTGGGTGTTGGGGGTGGCCGTGGGAGCCCTTATCATCCTGTTCTAAGTGAGGACTGCCTGAGGGGGAGAGTCTTGCTCAGCCCCAGCTCTGGAGCACAGGTGAGGGCTGGGAGGGGCCCGCCCCTCCTGCCTGCTGGGGGAGAGGGGACTCCCTCCAGGCCCATGGCCCCTCCCTCTCCTCCTGGGGCAAGGTGGCAGGGGTTCGTGTGGAGCCCAGGAACCAGCCCAGCTGGGAGAAGATAAAAACGCCATTGGTGGCTCAGCAGCTCCCGCACTGCCTCCTGCTCTCAGCCTGCTCTCGGCCGCTCTGCCAGCCATGAGATCCTCCCTGTCTCGGCAAACCTACTCAACCAAAGGAGGCTTCAGCTCCAACTCAGCCAGCGGAGGGGGCGGGTGTCGAACCCGCACCAGCTTCAGCTCCGTGACCATGTCCCGGAGCAGTGGCGGTGGTGGTGGGGCTCGCTGTGGCCCCAGCACCAGTGGCTTTGGCAGCCGGAGCCTCTATAACTTGGGAGGCAGCAAGAGCATCTCTGTCAGTGTGGCCGGAGGGGCCTCCTCGGGTCGGGCTCTGGGGGGCTTCGGCTTTGGCAGTGGGGCCTACATGGGCCTGGGGGCTGGCAGGCAGACCTTCGGGCCTGCTTGTCCTCCAGGGGGGATCCAGGAGGTCACTGTCAACCAGAGCCTGCTGACCCCCCTCAATGTGGAGATAGACCCAGAGATCCAGCGGGTGCGCACCCAGGAGCGTGAGCAGATCAAGACCCTCAACAACAAGTTCGCCTCCTTCATCGACAAGGTGGGGGGCATGGAGTGGACGCAGGGCCTCTAAGGGAGGGAGCAGGGGCAGACACTGGGATGGGGCTGGGTGGGAGGATTTGGTTTCCTTGGGCCTGAGCCTGGTGCTGAGATGTGGATGGGGATGGACCTCCGCCTCTTTCTGTAGAATCTTCATTCTATGCACGAGGCCTCCTGGCCAAGCCCAGTGATTGGGGCGGGGGGAGGGGAGCCTTTTTTATGGTCATCCTTTTTTTTTTAATATTTATTTTTTAGTTGTAGTTGGACCTTCATTGAATACCTTCATTTTATTTATTTATTTTTATGTGGTGCTGAGGATTGAACCCAGGGCCTCGCATGTTCGAGGCGAGCGCTCTACTGCTGAGCCACAGTCCCAGCCCTATGGTCCTCCTTAATATAACTACATGGCAGTCTTGTCTCAGAATCAAAACTTGGATAGTCCTTGCTGCTCCTCTTAGTGTGGTGGCCCTTACTGGATTTTTGTCATTCTGTAGCTGGGGAAACTGTGACTCGGAGTTCAACAAGTTATCCAAAGCTGAGGTTGGCCCCCGTCTGTCCCTGCTCTCTCAGGCTTGGAGGAGGCCTAAGGGCTAGATGTGGTCAGAACACAGTTGGGGGGTCTCAGGGGAAGTCCTCCATTGCTTCTCCTTTTTTTCTGCTCCCTGCTGAAGTCAAGAAGCTCAGTCTGGGATGGACAATGAGGTGGGTGGTCACCAGGTTACCAAGCCCTGTGGCTGTGGAGTTTGGACTGTTGCACACTGGGAGTGTCTGCATCCTTCTCTGGCCTCCAGGCTGACTAGGGTGACTCTTGTACTGTTTTCTGGCACTTCTTGGTACATCCTTCTGGCCTTGTCTTTCTTGGCCCTGAGCCTCGGAAGTGGGGTCACGTTGGGAAAGATGATTTGTGTTTGGTCCAGTGATTTGTGCTTTCTCAAAGAACACTCACATCCCCATTTTCATGCAATACCCTCAGTTGTTCCCTGACTCTGGTACCATTTTTTTTGATACTGGGGAATGAACCCAGAGGTACTTAGCCCCTGAGCTATATCCCCAGCCCTATTTTATATTTTATTTAGAGACAGGGTCTCATTGAGTTGCTTAGGGCCTTGCTAAGTTGCTGAGGGTGGCTTTGAACTTGCAATCCTCCTGCCTCAGCCTCCCGAGCTGCTGGGATTAGGGGGCTGTGCCATTGTGCTGGGCTGGTACTATTTTTGAGATTAGAAAATTGAGATTTACAAAGGTTGAGGGATTTTCCCAGACTCATACAGGTACATGAAGGCAGAGGCAGAACTGGAGCCCATCGTCCTTGGCACCAAGAGGTTCACCTGCTACCTGGAGCTCTCTTGTGGTGTGACAGTGGCTCAGGCCCTGTGGAGGTGGAGAGACAGGATGGCAGATTTGGATGAAGCAAGGCCTCCCGCCTACCTCCTTGCTCTCTCCCCTAGTGACTTTTGGTTCTTTTGTGGGACTGTCCCAGGGGTCAAATAGGCAAAACCTTTTCTTGGGCTTCCAGAATCATTGCCTGGTCACTGGAGGGTGAGAGATGTGTGTCTAGTGTTTCAGAGTCTGGCTGGGCAGAGCTGTCCCCTCTTCCTGGGGAGTGTTGTTAACCCACCCTCTGAGCCTCCTTCTAGGCCTGTAGAGTTGGTCCCAGGCATAGATATTAAAAACACAAAAACAAAAACAAAACACCAAAAACCCCAAAACCAACCAACCAAACAAACAAATAAAAAAACATAAAAAATGAGGAATTTGCAGAGAAGTTGCAAGAATAGCCCAACATGCCTCTACATAGGCTTTCAGATTTAGTAGTTTTCAACATTTGGCCATAATTTTTCTCTCTTGCTTGTGTGTGTATTATTAGCATTTATTTATTTATTTATTTTTGTACTGGAGATTAAACCCAGGGGCACTTAATCACTGAGCCACATCCCCAGCCCTTTTTTATATTTTATGTAGAGACAGGGTCTCACCGAGTTGCTTAGGGCCTTGCTAAGTTACTGAGACTGGCTTTGAACTTGCAATCCTCCTGCTTCCCGAGCTGCTGGGATTACAGGAGTGCACCACTGTACCTAGCCTTATCAGCATTTTTGACAGTTGATTTTGGTGCAGAATTAGGATTCAGAATTCAGAATTGACCTGGTCTTTTTTTTCTCAGGACAAGCAAGAAAGGGAGAAGTGGTGTGACCAAGGCTAACCTGTAAATGTCTGAGCCGGGGCTCTTGTGTTTGTTAATTCTTAAGAGTCCTTCTCATCAGGTGGGGCTGTCATGCCAGCAGAGATGCTCCCCTCAGCACTTGTCCCCTCAGGACTCTCTCCCCTCAGCAGGGTGCAGGTGCTTCTGCTCTGCCACTGTGATGCTGACTTGGGATGCAAGGGGGTGGTGGTCCGTGTCCTCAGTCCCTCTTGTGGCCAGAGGATGATACCCTTCTTTTCTCTGGCTTAGGTACGTTTCCTGGAGCAGCAGAATAAAGTGCTGGAGACCAAGTGGGCTTTGCTGCAGGAGCAAAGCCAGAACATGGGTGTCACCAGAAACAACCTGGAGCCCATCTTTGAGGCCTTCCTGAGCAGCCTGCGGAGGCAGCTGGATAGCAAGCAGGACGAGCGGGGGAGATTGGACTTGGAGCTGAGGAACGTGCAAGATCTCCTGGAGGACTTCAAGAACAAGTGAGGAGAACTGGGCAGGCTGGCCTAGGGCAAGGGGCAGTGTGGGAATCTCCTGGAGGGAGCCTCCCACTCCCAGGGTTCTAGAATCTACCTGTTTCCCTTGGATGCTCAGTACTGGGACCTGCTGCTGCCTGGAGAATTGGTGACTTAGTTTGTGTATTGTTTGTAGTTAAAAATAATTTTTTTTAAAGCATGGTGGCACATACCTGTAATTGCAGCAATTTGGGAGCCTGAGGCAGGAGGATTGCAAGTTCAAAGCCAGTCTCAGCACTTAGTGAGCCCCTATTCAACTTAGTGAGACCCTATCTCTCATTAAAACATAGAAAGGGCTGGGGATGGGGATCAGTGGTAAAGCGCCCCTGGGATCAATCCCCAGTACCAAAAAAAAAAAAATCATTTCTATAAGGTAAGGAGAATAGTATATTGAACCTTCATGTTCCATTCAACTTTAATAATTATTGACTCATAGCCAATCTCAGCTCATCTCTCCCTCTACCCACTCCTCCTTCCTTATTGTCTTGAAGAAATTGCAGTCATCAAATCATTTTATTCACAAATGTTTTACTAGATCTATTTATATCGTTTGCCTGCCTAATGTAATAAAACATGAACATAATATTATAATCACAAAATAGTCATTCCTCAATATCATCAAACATCCAGTTTTGAATTTTTAATTGTTCCATGAATGTCATAAATTTAAAAATACAGTTCATTGGAACTGAGCTCCAAATACGGTTCACTTATTGAGGATGGTGGATATGTATATTTATAATTTGAAGTCACAAGTTTTTTTAAAATTATTTTTTAGTTGGACACAATACCTTTATTTAATTAATTTTTATGTGGTGCTGAGGATTGAACTCAGGGCTTTGCTTGTGCTAGGCGAGTGATCTACCATTGAGCCACAACCCCAGACCCTGAAGTCACAAGTTTTTCCATAACTTGACACTAGCAATTTCTCAAGCTTAAAAGTCTCAACAGAAATGGATATGGAGGCATTGGTTGTTTGAAGTGACATCCAGTTGTTGAAAGTGAATGCAAAGGTAACCATTTTGGCACATCTTTGGTTGCTCCTATAAAGCCTCTGCAGGGCTCTCTTCCAAAGACATGGCTGCTGTTGATTGTCATATTTATTGCATAAAGTTGTGTCCCTTTCCTCAGGAAGGGATTGGGAGAGAGAATGCTTAAACAAAGACAGTACCCCAAGTTTTTTCACTGATTTGTCACATTAAAGAATTGCTCCCAAGCTGGGCATGGTGATGCATGACAGGGTGAGATCCTGTCTCAAAATATAATACAAAGTGCTGTGAGGTAGCTCAGTGGCAGAGCACTCTTGGGTTCAGGCTAAGGTGACAGGGTTGAACTTAACATGAAGTGACCAGAGAATTGTAGGCTCCTCAGATCAGCAGGGACCACAAGGCCTCTCCAGTACTGCAAAACAAAAACAACAAAAATTGCTCCCCAAAAGCATTCTTGGACAATGGGGGACCCATCAGGGCTTCCTTAAAGCCAGGAGGGTCCAATGCCTAAAAGGCAGAACTGGGCTGAGCCTTCCTTGTATAACAGGTACGAGGATGAAATCAATAAGCGCACCGCTTTGGAGAATGAGTTTGTGGTGCTCAAGAAGGTGAGCAGGGAGTGGGGAGCCTTTGGCTGCCAGGGTGCTGGGTTGTCCCAGAGAGATGAGAAACCCCTGTCAATGGAGCATCTCCTTTGCTCTCTCCTATCCCCTCCCCCCAGGATGTGGATGCTGCGTATATGGGCCGAATGGATCTGCATGGCAAAGTGGACTCCTTGACCCAGGAGATTGACTTCCTCCAGGCTCTCTATGAAATGGTGAGGTGGCCAAAGGACAGGGAGGATTCCCTTACAGTGCTGGGGACTCCCCACGGAGATCAGAACTGAATTTACCAGTGCAACTTGTTAAAAGATGGGATGTTAATCCTTTAATTAGCACTGCCTTCCATGCATGAAGTGCTCTCGATGGGCCAGGCATCGGTCAAGCCTCTTAGAGAATCCTCTCCACAACTTCCTAAAGTAGGTACTATTGTTGTCTCTGCTTCATAGTCAAGGACACAAAGAGTAACTTGTCCACTGTCACAGAGCTAGGATGAGGCAGCGTGAGGATTCAAACTTGACTTTGAACTCCAGAATCTGGTTCTCATCACACCTTTCAGTTGCCCTCTTCCTATCCAGTTTGTATTCGAGCACAGGATGGAGGAGCAGAGATGGGCAGAGAGGAGGGAAAGGGTTCCAGGTTGTGGCAGGAGATGAGGTGGGGGCAGTGGGTAGATCAAAGGATCCAAGTGTGGTCCCAGGAGACAGGGGGCCTTGGAGACTAAGGTGACAGGGTTGAATTTAACACAAAGTGGCCAGAGAATCGTAGGCTTCTCAGATCATCAGGGACCACAAGGCTAATCCTGGGTCCAGGGTAAGAACCTTCCTATGACTTCCCTGACAGGGGTCAGGTAGCTTCCCCTAGAACTCCTAGTGCAGGGAGCCCACTGTTTTTGAGGGTAGGCATTGCCATTTGAGTGCTCTCTTAGAAACCTGACTTGAATCTTGTTCCCATTTAGTCTCTTGACTGGTCCTGACTCTGCCCTCTGGACTACATGTATCCAGTTGTCTTCCATGTGACACTTGTCTTTCCCACAACAGTCTTTTAGTGGCCAGGATGATGAAGGAACAAAAAAATCTGTGAGAAACTTCAGGAAACAGTTTTTTTTTTTGGTGGATCGAACCCAGGGGCTCTCTACCATGGAGCTATGCACCCCCAGCCCTAAAAAGAGAATAATAATAAAATAATAAAATAAAAGAATAATAAAATAGAAAACTATTTTGAGACAACATCTCCCTAAGTTGCCCAAGTTGGCTTTGAACTTGCAAACTTCCTGCTTCAGCCTCCTAAGTGGTGAGGATTACGGGTATCTGCTATGGTGCTTTCCAGGAAACACGATTCTAAATGATATAGTCAGAAAACAGAGGGTCGGGAGGGAGAGCTGATGTCCATCCATGCAGCTTAATGCTGCCCCAGTCTGTGTATTCTTTATAGAAGCCATCTTATCCCTGGACAACCCTTGGATTTTTTCACATGAATGTTTTCAAGGGAGACTAGCATCTATTCTTCTCCAACTTTCTGTATTTAGGGAGTTGAATTTTTGGAACAAAAAGCAGGAGTTAATCATTTTTTTTTCTTTCCTGCGGTTTCATCCCATCATTTGAAGCCATGCGGGCATGGAGAATCTTGATTCCGCTCTCCACTATACTAGTAATGCCCTGCTCCGGGTCCTCTGTAGACAGGTTAACTTTTAGTTTAGTTATTTGATCTAGATTTTTTTTTTCATGTGTGTGTTTCTGGGGATGGAATTCAGGCCCCCATGATGCTAAACAAGCGCTCCACCACAGCTACCTGCTAACCCAATTTAGTTATTTGAAAACTCCAGTGTAGCCAGGCACAGTGTATCTCCAGGGACTTGGGAGGCTGAGGCAAGAGGATCACAAGTTCAAAGCCAGCCTCAGCAGTTTAATTAGGCCCTAAGCAACTTAAGGAGACCTTTAAGGAGACCCAACTTAAGGGAAGGGTAATGGGGTTTAGAGCAATTTGGTGGCAGCCCAGGAGGGAGCAGGGGAGAGAGAGGCAGAGCCCCTGGGAGCCAATGTAGTCATGATCCAGTGACCAGGACACAGAGACCCTCAGCTCCCTATCATCTTCCTTCTCTGTCACCTTCCCTGCTTGCTTGTAAATGTGATGGACCCTAGAAATACAGGAAGGGCCCAAGAGTATCAGGAAAGTCTGGAGTGATCAGAGGAAGCCATCTGGGCCTTGTCACCAGCGTTAGAGCTGAAAGTGCGTGTTCCCTTTCTCCTCTCTGATCTCTTGGTGGCCTGTAAATGTACAAAAATAAATGAAGGCTATAAAAATGGGAGCCCAGGTGACAAGCGGGGAGACCGAAGTCTCTTCCTGCAGTCATGGGTTCTTTGTAGGGGGGTTTCTGGGGAAGCCTAGGATGGCCCTCCTGATACCATGACTGTCCTTGTCCCCTGTTCCCCACCCCACCCTGGTAGTAGCTGTTTGTGTTCCTTCAGGAGCTGAGCCAAGTGCAGACCCACGTGTCTGACACCAAGGTCGTCCTGTCCATGGACAACAACCGCAGCCTGGATCTGGACAGCATCATTGCCGAGGTCAAGGCCCAGTATGAGCTGATTGCCCAGAGGAGCCGGGCGGAGGCCGAGGCCTGGTACCAGACCAAGGTGAGAAGAACGGCTGGTCAGGGATTGTGCACAGACCTCCGATGGCCTGGGCCACTGGGACGTGGGAGCCCTAGGGACCAGATATACTCAGCCTCCACAGGCCTCCACTGGCAGGTGGCTCTGGGTTGGTCCTGGTGCTCACTCTCTGATGCTCACTGCTGCTTCTTTGGGCTCCAGTACGAGGAGCTGCAGGTGACGGCAGGGAAGCATGGGGACACCCTGCAGAACCTCAGGGACGAGATTTCGGAGCTTACCCGCATTATCCAGAGGCTGGAGATTGAGTTGGAGGCGGCCAAGAAGCAGGTAGGCCTCTCTCTGGGCCTCGGGGTCAGGCCAGGTGTTGGCAGGGCTGGAGGGCCTTCTTCCATGGTCACCCTGAGGGGCAAGGGCGGCTCTTCTTCTGATAGATGGGACGACTCAGATGCTGGATCATCAAGGTCAATGTGTTCCACTTACAGGATAGGAAACTGGGGCCCAGAGACTTGGGGAAGGGGCTTGTCCAAGGTCACACAGCATATAAGTGGTAGAGCAGGTTGGCTACTTCCTCTAAGGAGATTGACCCATCCCATCTCTTGGAGGAGGCAGAAGGTTCCAGAATCCAGGTCACAGAGGCTAACCCCTTCTAGGGTATGGCTGAAAAGCACAAATTCTTCTCCAGATCAGAACGAAGACTTTGGCTAATAGTGAGATTGCATCATTTATTCTCTCTCTTCTGAAGCACTGGTCTGAGCTGCAGCTGGAGGAGGGATTGAAGTTAGACTTCAGTCAAGGCTTCCCAGTGCTGCCACATGATCCTGCTTTCTAATAATCCTTCTTTCAGAGGCATATTTCTCTTTCTGTTCTTTCCCCCTTGGTTGGGGCAGGGACTTGGGGAAGGTGACTCCTGACTTGAGGGCAGAGAGATGAATGGGATGACCCTAGAGGGTGTTCCCAACACCTCTCACCCCTGGGGCAGTGTCAGAAGCTGCAGGCGGCCATCGAGGAAGCGGAGCAGCGTGGGGAGATGGCACTCAAGGATGCGAAGAAGAAGCTCGGGGATCTGGACACGGCCCTGCACCAGGCTAAGGAGAACCTGGCCCGGCTGCTGCGTGACTACCAGGCCCTCATGAACGTCAAGCTGGCCCTGGACGTGGAGATTGCCACCTACCGCAAGCTGCTGGAGAGCGAGGAGAGCAGGTGGTGGCCCCTCTGCCCCACTGAGGGCTTCCTGTCCCTGTCCCCTGGGAGGAGGCAGCACCGGGAGGGGGTCTTGACTCACCTCGGGGACACTTCCCTCCCCTCATGGACTCCTTGCCTCTGCTGCTTATTTCTAGGGTGGCACAAACTTGATCCTTAATCTTGGGGGTGGCCGCAGCCAGGGAGAAAGGAAGGCAGTATAAACTTTGAAAAAAACCAAACCCCCCGCAAAACCATATCTCCCTCAGCATGATGTGGAGAGGAAGTGGGCAGGACTAGGGCGGCTCTGTGAGGCCAGGGACTCTGTCTCCCCCGGAGCTGGGATGCCATCCATGGTCCTGGGTGGGGGAGATAGGTGTGTGTGGGGGCGTGGTCAGAGGACGTGCTGGGAGGGCCATTGGTCCCAGAGGACTGTTTTAGGGCATGATGGGAGGGCCACGGGTCCTAGTCCAGCTGCATGCACACACTTATGTCTCCTGGTCTTGTTACTGTCACCCGGTCTCGGCCCTGATCCAGTCTAATGTAATCTAATGCGGGTTTTCTCCCGGGTTCCTGGGGTCACTGACCCCTCTCCTGGCCTTTCCGCTTCCCTAGGATGTCTGGAGAATGTCCCAGCACTGTCAGCATTTGTGAGTATTTGCTGCTCCCTTCCTGCCCCACCCCTGGCCTGGCCCCAGAACACTCTGTCCATTCAACCTGAACCTGCCCTAAAGTGTGCTCTCCTTCAGAGCCTCCAGGAGAGCGAGCTCCCTGTGCTGGGCTCCCCTCCCCAGTTCCCATGGGAAATTTCCGATGTTCCAGTCCTTCGATGATCTTCTGCCCCCCCGCCCTGCCAGCCCTTTCCTGGCACTGCCTCTGGCCTAATCCAGACCCTTTGCCTTGCAGCTGTGACTGGCAACTCCACCACCATGGTTGGAGGCAGTGCGGCTGGCTTTGGGGGTGGCGTCTCCCTAGGTGGGAGCGGGGGTGGCTTCAAGGCTGGATTCAGCACGAATGTGGGCTACAGCAATGTCAAAGGCGGGGTCGGCTCCGGGGGCACCTCCATCCTGCGGAAGACCACCACGGTCAAGACGTCCAGCCGGAGGTACTAGCCTCTGAGACGTGCATGCCGGGGGCCCTGCAGTCAGTCCTCTCACTGCCCCATCCCCATCCCTGCTACCCTCTCCAACCTTCTCAGGAACAGCCCTGGGGACCACAGACCCGTGTTTTTTCACACCACACTATTTGGGTACGGTTTGTATTGGGGGAAAGGCTCAAATCTACCCAGTTTTTCTCCTGGGAGGTTAAGGTCCTCATCTTGAGCAGCATGGTCGAGTGATCTGATGGTGACCACTGAGAGGAGACTGGGTGTCCCAGGCCACCTCTGTCTCGCTCACCGCCTCTGCCTTTCTGCTGGGAGTCCAGGGCTGGCGGGGGAGGAAGGGGGAAGTGAAGAGTGGTTCCCCAAGATCCTCCAACCTCCCCAGTCACCCACCCCCTCCTCCACCGCGTCCCCGTTCTGTGCCTGTGATCTGTCTCAATAAACTTCAACTCCAGTCAGCGGTTGTGGCTGCAGTCTGTCCTGCCTGGGAAGTGAGTCATGTCCATCAATGAGCACCGGATGGTTGACCACCACACACTCACTATGTCTCCGGTCACCTTGAGGGCCCAAGTGCATTTGCTCTATGCTGCCGCTCCCCCAGGGCCTGTGTGTAGCTGTGGGAGGACCCTGAGGCTCTGAGGGAGGATGGAAGTTGCTGAAGGCCTGACCCAGCTGCTGGGGGGCTGCCTGTCACTCAGCATGCCCCCTGGTGCTCATTCAGCCCTTCATTTCTCTGAGGGGCAGGCAGCATGATTTGTTCAGGGCAGAGATCCTGGGCTTCAGAACGAGGCAGACTCAGGTTAAATTCCAGTTCTGCCACTTTCTAGCTATGCAACATTGGGCAAGTCGATTAACCACTCTGAGCCTTAGTTGCCTCCTTTGTAAAATCAGGATTGTGAGGAAAACATGAGTTAAGCATACTTCCCTTCCCCTTGACTTCTGGATCCCCACCTTCTTGGAGTGAGATGGTTTGTGTCTCAGCCCCCGTATTCAGTCATCCATGCCAATGCACGTTCAATTGGATTTTATGGTTTACAAATACATTATTTCACCCCAGAGTTCGATGGGGGGGGTATGTGATCCCCTATTTTACAGGTGAGGCAACTGAGGCTCCCAGAATGAGCCCTCAAGCCCACTGCCACATCCTGGTCTTCTCACCGGGTCTGGGCACTGAGCTGGTCTAATGTGAAGGCAGCTGTTGGGGGTGGGTCCGAGGCACTGGGGCTGCCATTTCCAGCCTTCAGTCCTTCCTCCCCTGAAGCCCCCTCCGTTCTGCCCCTGCCTCTGCCTCTCACCAGATCTTATGACCCTCCCTCCTTTGGGACTCAGATCTGCCCCCCTCTTCAGCTCCAGAGCTCTCTGCCCTAGCGGGACCCCCTCCTCCATCTATGCTCCTGCAGTTCCCGCAGGCTGCCTGCTCAGCCCAGGCCTGGGAGGGGGGGTGCCCAGTCCTGCCACCAGCTCCTTCCTGTCCCATGTGCAGGCTGCGCTGGGCCCTCCCTCCTGGAGAGCTCCTGGCTGTCGCTGGAGCTTAGACATGGGGCCCTCCTCAGAGGAGTCTGGGGAGTTGGTCAAGTTTCTGCAGGGCGAGGGGTGCCAGCAGAGGGGTTCTGGCCGGAACCCTCAGCATGGCTTAGAACACAAGGGCGAGCATGAAGATTCTGCTCCCCTCACCCGGGTGCTCCTGAGTTTGGGAGTTATCCACAGTCACAGGGTGACCCATCTCTTCTCAGGGGTGCAGACCGCTCCCGATGTGCACGCTTTAGTGATAAGAGCTAAAGTTTTCTGAGTGCCTACTGGGTGCTGCTAAGCCTCAAACAGACTCAATCTTCCCAATAATCTTGGATAGAAGCACTGTTATCATCCCCATTGGCAGATGAGAAAGAAAAGGCACAGAGTGGTTAAGTAATTTGTTGAGGATCACACAGCTAGTAAGTAGCAGAGCTGGGTATGGAATCCAAGCGATCTGGTTGCATAGTCCAAGCTCTCAACCACTGGTTGATGCCAGTTGTTCAGAAAAGGAAACGGAGAAGCAGGGCGTACTGGAGCTAGAGAAGGTGCTAAATATAATCTTGTCCAAACGTGTCATCTTGTAGGTGAGAAGATGGGCTGAGAGAGGGAAGAACTTGTCTAAAAGCCACCATAAACCAATAACAGAGTGAAACAAAAACTTTATTGAATTTAAAAATTAGGGCTTAGAAATAGAACAATGGTCAGTTTTAATGAAACATTAAGTTAAATAAAATTCAGCGGTTACATTGCCACCCAGGAGCCCCCGATCCACATCATATTACTCAGAAATCCTTGCTAAGGTTTTCATACAGAGTTCCTGGGACCTGGGGACCCCAGGGGTGCTCTAGGGGGCCCGGAGGACAGCAGGCTGCAGGGAGCTTGGGTCCTTCCCCTGCTTTCCCTGTGTTACTTTGTTGCAAGAGTAATTTCGCTGCCAGAAGTTGGGGAGCCCTTGCTGGCACATGCCCAGGGAAGACACCAAGAGGGCAGCTCTGCAGCCCTGGGGAAGAGGGCCCTGGGCCAGACCCCTCCCCTGATCTAAGTCCCTGCCCTCTTCTTGCCCTCGCGGCCTCCTCCTGAAATGCTGACGGCCCTTCTCTGCAGAATCTCTGATCCCCTTGTTGGCTGCTGCTCCCCGAGAGTGACTCAGAACGTCAAGGCTGGGTGGCGGAGCGGGGCACGGCACGGACCTGGCCAGCGAGGGCGGGAGCATTTTCTCACACCATACACCGGGTTTGGGGCAACAGTGACAGAGGGCCTCAGGATCTGTAATCCCAGGGCTCACCCCGAAAGCCCTAGGCGGGCACACCCTCCCGCCCCGCTCCCGCCCCATGTCAAGATCAGGAACAGCTGCCAGAGGAAGGAGGGTCACCGAGGGCACCAGTAAAAGCTGTGTGGGGGACTGGGGAGTGGGGAGGGGGCCCAGCTCTCAGCTGTCACTGCCAGGGAGAACCTCACTCCATTGGCCACCTCTGGCTAGGGGGGAAGGAGACAGCAGTCCCGGAAGGAGAAACTCTTCTCTCTTCTTCTCTCACCATAGGGGGAAAATGGTCTTTTGGTTGAAAAGTTTTTTTTTTTTTTTCCTTTTGTTTTTTTGGGTTCCGTTTCAGGGTTTTTTTGACTTTTTGGCATTTTTGTTTTAAAAAAAAGGCCACAGGATACGACGCTAGACTAGGACTTTCTGATTGATTTGGGTTTATGATAAATTTAGATTTAATTAATTGGAGGACACAGGGTTAGCTCCTCAGGACAGTGTTGTCAAGTACCCGTAAGAACCGGGCCACGTAAACCAAGCAACCAATCCTGTGACAAGAGTAAGGACAGAAAGGAGCTGAGCCATGTCCGTGGAACACATAACCTATTGGCAAGATCCTGTTGCTGTAATGGTGGACCTGTGGGGCAGAGTCACCATGTAAAATACTGCAGTCTAGAAGTGAAGATCACAAGCTCTGAAGTCAGACGAATGATTGGGACTGGTTCCCATCTCCATTACTTCCTAGCTGTGTGATCTCGACAAGTTACATAGCCTCCCCGAGCTTCAGTGGCTGGAGCTCTAAACTGGGCATAGCAACACCACTTTAGTAGGGTTGTGGTGAGGAATGAGCACTTAGTGTTCATATATAATGGCAGTTCTAAGGAAGTCCCTTCTACTTGAAAAGCACCATTTTTAAGATAAAAAAGTCATCTTACTTTTTGTCCTAGGGATGGCATATGCTTCCAGTTACCTCCAGAAAGTCCTCAGTGGAGTTTGCAGTTTGGGGCCCCACAGGCACAAATAACATCCATCACTTTACGTCTGGTTCCCCTGGAAGCGTCCTCCAGCCTTGTTTGGTTTTTGTTTGGGCCCCTGGATGCAGCCCTAGGCTCGCTGTGCCTGTGTCTTCCCTCCCTAGAGCTGGGGTGCTACAAGACCCAGGGGACATGAGCCACTGGGGGCTTCATGTCTGGTGATGCAAACATCCACCAAGTTCATGAAAGTCTCCATCAAACCCTTGGGGCAGCAGAGGGTAGAGCGGTTGGTGGAGGCGCAGAGATGGAGACGAGGTGGTGGGCACGGGGCTCCAGGCCCACACGTGGGGGACAGCCCACCTCCCCTTGGGGGCAGGGACCAGTTAATTAGACTCAGTTCCCTGATGGGGGACTCCCAGGGAGCAGAACTCCCTGCTCCCAGTGGAGACAGGTGGACATCCCCAGGGGATCCTCACTGGGAGGCCAGTGCCCTCCAGGCCCTTTGCTCCTGAGTAGCAGGCTCAGTCAGGTTGGCTCGGGTGCTCACTTCTGGACTGGCTGGTTCACAAAATGCACAAAATGGACATACTCACTTCATACCAGGCAGAGAGGGAGGACGAGAGGCCTGGAGCACGGAGCCTTTGAGACCAGTCTGATGCAGGTACAAGTCACGGCTCTACCACATGCTGTGCAAATCTGGGAGCTCTTTGGCCTCTCTGAGTGTCCAAGTCATCGAGTGTAACAGAGCCAGCGAGGCCAGCTGCAGAGAGCCTCCAAGGAGACCACTTGTCCAGTGTATGTGAAGCATCCTGCATCACGCCTGGCACCAACTTGGTGCTCAATAAATTCTGGTTGAAAGAAAGAGTGAATGTCTAGTCTCTTCCCTTGAAGGAGACAGGTCTGTCTAGAAGGTACCCTGCTGCCAGTGGACTGGCCACTGTTCCAGCCTTCCCTTGTGGATGGTTTCGCAGGGCCTGGGCCTCCAGGACTCATAGCCCCAGCCCCTCTGCCAGTTCCATTTGCTTAGAGGCCTCCTGGATGGTGGCTGGGCAAGGGGAGAGGGACTGGGGTAGGGAGGAGGGAGAGAAGAGACGGCTGAACCCCGGGCAGCCTGGCCTTCCCTGCAGCCCTGGGGGTTCCTGACCATCTTCTCCCACCTCATGGCTCTGCCCTCCCTGTGTCGACGAGGGAGTCTTCACTCCTGCTGCCATTAGGCCAGGGCCAGCTCCAGCCTGTGGACTCACCTAGACATGGGTCACTGCTGCTTCTCAGATTTGGGGTCATTTCCCCCACGAGGGGCTGAGGAGCAGAGGGGGAACACAGGTGCATCTAACTTTTTTTCGTGAGCATTAATGACAAAGCCTGGTCGGGAAGAGAATGAGCGTCTGCTAACCTAGGGGCTGGCACGGGAAGAGAATGAGCGTCTGCTAACCTAGGGGCTGGCACTGTGGGCAAATTGTCTCATTGACTGTGAGGCAGGTGTCCCGTTGGATAGATGAGAAGATGAGTTGGATGTGTTTAAGGGTTAAGTGACCTGCCTGAGGCTGCAGAACTAATTAGTGGCAACGG